GTATAGTTCTCTATATGATTTTCATATATAAAAATCGTGTGTAACATTCGTGCATATTGGATTTCGGTCATGCTAATTTAGATGGGGTGGCATAAATTATTTACCACTCAGGATGGCACCAATGTGGCTCCTTTTTTAATATATTATTATTTTAAAATACATGCCGATATATTGCTGCTAATAAAGATAAAGATCGACCATCGTGATTTATATTTGCATGCGCTGATTCACTAGCATTAGTATTATTTGGCGTTTGATTTCAAATATCAGCTTTCATTTTAGTAAATGCTAATGAAAGTCCAGCCAATATCCACGGTTTATATTTATCATTAACCCACTCTATTTTTAAATTTAAATCAATATATTATATATGCATAATTGCTTTAAAAATAATACAATTGTAAATAAAAAAAACCTGCTGTGCCTGGTTCATCGGATTTTTTAATTTTTTCTAATACGTTCAAGATTTCCTCTTGTGTATTTAATTTAGTAACAGAATACATTAATTTTTTCGTTTCATCAGAAATTGCTTTATTTCGAATATTGCTATATATAACAATAATTTACGTATTAATAATTTAATAAATATGGAATTTATAGATAAACTTTAATAACGAATTACCCACCGATTAAAATGAACTTGACATAATTTGTAAATATGTTTTAAATGTTCTTCACATGATAAGTAACTATATTTCGAATGAAGATATTTCCCAAGACCTATGTAAATAATAAATAAATAAATTATAAATATAATATATTTGCTTAATATGACATACTTTCGTTATAGTGAAATCGTCAGGCTAAAAAAATAAATCTTCACTATAGCATATATGTATCAAGAGAAGACTATATGCACTTGCATTGAATTTTAATAGTTCTACAATTCCAAATTCTTTACTATATAGAATCTTCATTATATCAAAAATTTACTATAACGAAAGTGAGTTGTTTATTTATTTAATATATTTACCAAGTGCCTGTCCTTGATGCTCATCCGCAATTATACAACCCAATCCACGACCATGAATGTGCTGAAATTCAAATGGCTTTTCCATATCTTTTTCAACAGTATCGAATAAATCCTCAAATAAATATTGATATGCTCTGGCTGATTGAAAATTTGTAAATATTCGTGCAAAAACTAGTACTATAAAAAATATATATATAAGTAAAACGTGTTTATATTTTTTATTAATTTAACAAAAAATAATAGAGTGAACATATTTGTTGCCAGTGATTACAATTCCAAACCAAACGGTTGCACTATTCAAAAACCTCAAAAATCTCAAGTCAAATAACTATGCTACGAAACTAACTTTTGCGTTTTAATAAAAAATTTTTCTTGCATAACTTTACTATATACTATAACCTTTTCTAATATAAAATAAAACTCTTTAGTTGCATTGCTTGGGCTTTATAATAATGTTAATATGTTAAATATCCAAAGATCATTTTTAAAAATCGCAATCAACCTATTATTAAATTTAGATACTATCGTCGCTGACAACAAGTAGATTATTTCTAAATAATAAATTTACCTTTTTGATAACGATGAACATAGGCACAAACTTCCCACTCATTTGTTACGCCGTGAATTCTCTTAAATGCTATATCAATTTCAATATATGATGATTGCGAAAGTAATTCAGCTTGCTCTTTTCGAGCACATAAAACAAGATATTGACCATCATCAAGAAATCCTAAGTTAAATAATTTAGTTAGCTCTAATTTAAATAATTTGATTTAATATTACTTACTAACTGAACGAATATATGGATCAGGTAATTTTTTTTGCTTCAATAGTTCATGTGCAACTCCTATGAAATATAAATTTGCTTGCTTCATTAACAATCATTTTACAGATAGCCTATTTAGCCAATATCATACAACTAATTAAATGCTAACTCTATACAATGTTGGCTAAATAAATTTTCAATAAAACGATTGTCAATGAAGTAAGCAGTATTGAAAAATAAAATAAGAAGCGTAAGTTGTAATTGGTTAAGTAAATTCAAATCTACTGTATATTTACCAATTATGTCTTGTCCGAAGGGATATTTTGACCGTTTGTTTTTTTCAATTAAATAGGTAAGACGTGATTGATTATTTAATGAGGGGTGCAGGCTACTTAATGGCCGTCCTTGAAGATATATTTTTAACATTGGTTCTAATTTAATTATTTTAAAAAAAATTATATTAATATAAAAATAATACTGTATTATAAATGATAATATAAATACTTACTTGTAAGAAGCTTTCGTGTAGTAAGACTCAAATCGTGTTCATTCTCAATGATTTTTTGTAAATTTTTGATTATATTATGTGGAGTTTTAGTTGGAGGTGGAGGCGGATGGTTATGAACACCAATGGAAATTATTGCAATAAATGGACATTGGGTTAAATCTTTAGGTGCTACATGATAAAATTTTACAGGACAAGGTCCTTTATTAACCAGTTTGCCTTTCATAACTTGAGTATCTGTTTTATGGAGGTGCGTTATTATAAATAACAAACTATAAATTAATATTGTATATACGATTAGCTTTGAATATCGGTTGTAGCTATTTATTAAATATTCACGGTTTTAGTGTTGTGTTAAATAAATATATAAATATTCATTGAATATAATCTATAAATATTCATGGATCCTATCTTTATATATTTTTAAATGTGAAATAATTATACTTACGGCAATGACTTGTTGTAGAAGAATTTGAAAGAACTGTAAAACATTCATTAATAGGTTTATTTTCATAACGATAATCCTATAATTGAAATTAATATTAGATATTTAATTTAATAAATATATATGTATTCGTATTTAATAATATATACCTTTCCACTAATTTCATTTGAACTGTATGTATAGTCTTGAAATAATTGTTCAAGATATTCTACGTTTACACGTTGGCTAATTGAAATATATCAATGCCCTTTTTGGCCAAATTGATATTTTTTACACCCAATAAACTTTCGAATAGTTAATGAGTCATCAATCTAAATTTGTAATTAAAATAAATAAAATTAAAAATAAGAATGCTAACAACTCGACTGACTTTAATTCAACTTGTATAGACTTAGAAAAAAAGCCCATCTAGGGTGCGGATCGATAGTGCAGCCATAACTACAGTTAATAATTTACCAATAATATTGGGTTGTATAAATGATAATTAATATCATTTTAAACCTCAAATCTCTTAATAAACACTTATATTAATGACTTCAAAAAATCTAATTATGGTTAGTGGCTATGTTATTGATCTGCACTTTGGGAGACACTCAGGTCGACTTATTGAATGATCACATTTCAAAATGATTACCTGTTTATACTCTCTAAGTATAGGGTCTCCATTACAACGAATATTAGTATTTGGATCAATATAAGAGCATGGTGTATTATAAGCTTGACCGTATACACTAAAAATATAATAAATTTTTAAACTGAATATTAATAAAAGGACAACCGGACGTTAGTAAGAGAAAATACATTAATAAAACATTGTTACTTACTTAAGAGTAAATGTATCAACAGAAAACTCATTTGCATCGAAGATTTTTTTATAAAGTCGATCTTCAAAATTAACTGATATATGTTCAACATCAAGAGTTGTTGAACTAAATTCACATACTTTTACACTAAGGCATGAACGATATGTTTTTTGAACAGGTACACCTAAGAATGGGCATTTTTGAATCGATCGAATAGTTCCAGGATCCCCATAAGCATATTGAATATTAGAAATTCCAAATGCTTTTTTAGCATCATCCGATTTCCAGCCAGAAACATTGTAGATACTAGCGACACCAGTTTGAGATGTTTTGGGATATTCTTGGAACTCGAGATAATAATCAACTTGATCGACGGTTAAATTTCGACCAAATTTGGCAAATGTTGGTTGATGCTATGTACAGTTACATATAATACAAAAAAACATATAACTATAATTAGTTATATGCTATAAATTAAATTATACGTATAACATTAAATAAATAAAACAATTAATATACCTCATCTTTATTTTCTAAGCTATTTACAGACGCATCGTTATCTTCTAAATCATCCATAAGCACACTATTATTTTCTAAATTACTAGCGCTATTATATTCACTTTCCAAGCTGCTAGAAATTCGTAAATCCTATTTATAAATTATTTTTTTATTTTTATTTTTATTTTTTTGAATTACTAATAATCGAATACTAGACCACAATAGTGCAAATAATACCTCATAGCCTAAAATAAATGAATTTGACGTTGATTCCTTTAATAAAATATAAAATTACCATATTATTATTAAACGTTATTAATTTATTATTATTTCTTAATTTGAAGTAAAAATTACTAGTGTTGGCTCCTCGTCTGTATCAGATATCACAACTATATCGGGTTGATTTAAAACATCGTTCTTTTTTGAACTTGTAATGGTACCAGTATCAATATTTAATTTTGAATCCATTTTTTGGAATTGTTGGATAAAAAAGGGTTAGATTTGCAATTGACATTTCTTATATCGATTATGTTACGTCATTAGTTAATTTATCATCCAATAAGTATTATTGGTTACACATTTTAAAACATACGTAGTACGCATGAATTACATTTATATCGGTAATCACCGTACAGAGCGTACAGGGCAATCACCGTACAGATCATACGGTACCGACCAAACCACCGTACCATACTGAATATATGTATACTCATATATATATATATATATAGTTTTAAATGTGCATATTTTACTTTTAGTTCTAAAATACACGTAAATAATATATTAAACAAAAGCTTTAAATAAATCTTTTGGACAATTATTTTTTATTTATATAATTAAATTTTTATATTTTTATTAAACCTATATTGCAAGTTATTTTGTTAAAAAAATTTAACGAATGAATTATTAATTTGGATTTTTTTTTAATGCGAAATATTTTAAAGAGACTATCATATTTTAAAAGATTATAAATAATTAACGTAGTCTTATTATCAATTTATACTAGCCGATGTAAGCCCGAAAGTGTATAAATAAGTTACTCGGACAATTGATTTAAATCAGCCAATCATACGAATGTCTTACCATGAGTCTGTATCACCGTATTTACTAATCAACAACCAGTTTGTTCTGCAATCACGCGGACAAACAAAAATTTTCCAAATTACTACATTGACATACGTATTTGTTTATGATAATTATGTTGATTTAATTTTTCATGGTCGAATGCATTAAAAACGCGATTTTTGTATCACGCGTAGAAATTGAGTGTACGCTCCGGACAATAAATAGTACATAATCTACGTTGCAAAAATTAATTGGATCTAACTTTATCATTTTATTATTACGATATTTAGAAATTTCAAAATATGTGATTTATCATAAAAAAATTTCATGTAGATAAAGTCAGGAAAAACTAAAATTATGCATTGCTTTAATACAGCATTTGTTGATTTGGAACCATTTGCAAATTCTGCATCTTATTTTACAATCCTTCTTGTCCAACAACATTTAATCACAGTTTTACAAATTGTACAACAAAACTGTTCAACAACGTTATCCTTACAAACTTCATATATGTATTGCAGTCTTTACTTGTGCAAGATATAGTTACAGAAACTATTAAGATCTCCATTTTTGTACCAATGATATCATTCTGAAACAATAAATTCATTTATATCTAGAAAACTCAATTCTTTTCTGCGGAATTCTAATATCTGAGAATTATAGAGTTAATAGCCTCAAATGTAATGGCATGAATAAAACATTTACCAAGTTATTCATTTATACCAGGAACGTGAGTGGATGGTTTTATTGAAGAATAAATCGAAAGCAAGATCTTAAAGCTGATCAGAAGGCAAAATCTTGAAGCTAATTGGATTATACATTTGTACAAATCACAATTTTTCTCACGATACTACGTAATCAGTTTTCTCACACATGACTACTAATTTGTTAGCCTTTTATAAAATGTTTTTGTAATGGTTGCTGCATTGTCTCGCTAGATGTAGATTTTCTTGATTAGGATTATGATCGCATATGATTGTTAAGTAACGAACCGATGTAAGTGCTAGTTAATTAATGAGGGTGGGTTCAAGTATGAAATTAGTAGGGGCGGAAGGAGAAGGACGTGCTTGTAAATGCAGTGTTATTTTAGGGTGATTTTTGGTAAAGGGAAGTAATCTTTATTTATTATCTCTCGACTCGCAGAAAGACTGACTCTACTGTCCTTCCAACCCTTCCCATTTTGCAGTGACTCGGCAATGAGCTTAATGCTTGGTAGCTGATTTGCTAAGCGAAGTGTATTGTTAAGTAAGGACAGACTCTACGGCTGCAGTAGTAATGCAGGGATCTTATTTTTTATCTTGTTTTGTAATGATTAGGCTTCGCATCTGTAGTAGCAGTGCAAGGACTTTCTTTTGTCAAGGACCTTAACAATTAGGCTCCACGGTTACTGTAGTAGTGCAAGGACATTGTTTTTTGCAGCGGTTATGCACGGGTAGAGTTTAGAACCGAACCGGTTTTATTTTCAGATGTTAAAACCGGTTTTAATCGATTTTATCATATGAAAAATAAAACCGGTTCCAAACTCTAGCTCCGATGCTGCAGTATCAGTGCAAGAACCTTACCAGTTAACTCTGAGGATGCAAGAATCTTTGCTTTAGGCTCCGTGGATACAGTAGCAGTGCAAGAATACTTTTATTTAAATAATCGGCATCCACATCACACTATGAAATCGACTCTCTTCGTAGCTATATGGAAATCTCCTCGGCGGTTTTCTCTATATATTTAGGAATTATAGTGAAGTTGGAGTTGTGTTATGAGTTTGTATTGAAACATTTTCGAGTACATTAGTGGTGTGTTTAATTGCACTAGCATTGTCTTAGGAAAATAATATAATTATGTAAAAAATAGAGCTTGTAACAACGATAGCCTCCCATAACAAAATTAGAAATAGACGAATATTTTTATAATATTTCTTACACTAAGTGACATTTGTGTTTGTGATATTTAACTATCAAAATATTTGTTGCCGATTCGTTATTAACAAAATGAAAGTGATATTTATTACAGATATTAAGAAAAAAAAGGGCTGATTTTGAACAACTGAAATAATTTTTTGCAGAAAGTACTCCAAGGTTAAGTTTCACTAGTTTTTCAAGAAATAAAGCCAATATAATCTAAATAACTGTAATTTTTTTTAATATGATTTGATTTTAATAAAATATGATTATAGGGAAATCTAGTTTTAACAGCAAAATGAATTTCTTATTTTGAATTTTAAATATTTATAGATCGAATAAATTGAATAATGTCCAATATGCAATAAGTTTGTTGAATATAATTTCAAAAAAGTTATTTTATATGTTCTTTAGTGCTATTTGTTTGAGTTTTGGATCCTTTAGAATTCAATAAATAAATAATAAATAATCCAATAGCTATTGTTCCATGTATAACATATCCGATAATTTGAATAATTTTTATTAAAATGGAATCTGTTTTTTTTATAAATAATTAGAACAATATATGAATATATTATTAAAACAGAACCGCTTTATATCTATATATATATATGCATACCTGAATATGGAATGCACAAGTTAACCCACTTGTAAGAATTTACATCAAACAGATAGGTCTTTAAATTTGAACTTAAAGGCTCGGAAAAATCGTTTGTTATGTTACCTAACAAAATATCGATTAATTTATGCCTTAAAATTAACAATGCAATAATGCAATAATGAAATAATGAGTTGTCAAAAGATTACCATTTGATATAATCATATAGTTTTGAAAAATGGCCGCTGTATGATAAGTAAGTGGGGGTGGTGCGTTCTCTGATGAGACTGATGGCGTTAACCATTGAAATGGAGAAGCTGCAAGATTAAGTATTATAAGGTCTGGTGTGGATCTTATATTGTTAACATTACTACCACCATAAATGATAATATTTCCATTAGGTGCTGTAATTATAAATTAAATGATACTGTAAGTCATTTGATTATTATTTTTTTTTTTAATGAAAACTTTTAATATAATTACCTAAAACAGCTGTATGACCACCGCGTGCAGTAACTTTACCACCTTCGGCGAACTAAAAGTAATTTTGGTTAACATTTCAATATTATTAATGTATATTAAAAATATATGTATATGTTGCATCCTATCTGAAGTAGCCACATATGAATTGACGCATGTCTGATAGATGCATGACTACACGAAATACAATATATATAAATAATATGGACTAATATTGATGTGAACCTACTTGATACATCCATGTTCCCGAATTAGTATCATATAACCAAATCTAAAATAGGCAATGCTTGAATTTAATTTTAAAAAGATACGGTCATCAATAACCAATATTATGATCAATTTATACCTGATTAATGTTAGCATCTTGGAGAATAAGGTCATCAGTCATTTCAGCTCCACCAATAATAACAATATAACCACTTGCAATAAGCGTTGCAGTATGAGAAGCCCTTCTTGTTGGCGCACTTACGTTTAAAGGTGATTTAATATTAACCCAAGATAAATCAACTGAATCCAATACGATAAAATCGTTAAAAAACAAGGTGTCATTAAAGGTACTAATTTTGACTGTTGATCCACCAAAAATATATATCCATCCATTATTAGGATTAAAAGTAGAAGAAGCTTCTCTACGTCTTAGTGGTTGAACTCCTGAAATTTTTGGAGCTGTCCAAGTTCGATTAATAGTATTAAAGCAATAAATTAAATTTTTGCTTAAACTACTATCATTTTTATTATTCATTATACCACCAAACAAAAATATTTCAGACATGGTTGATCCTCCAACAGATGCAGCTCCCCATGCAGTATAAACAGGGATCGGATCGAGAGAATTATATGACGGAAACGAAGCATCAAAAGGAATTGAAAAATCGTAATAAAAAAAAGTAGAATCAAGCCGAGAGCCTATTATACCGCCCATCGTATAAAGCTTAGAACCTATTAGAACATTTGTGGATGCTAAATGACCATCTATAGCCCAGCAATAAATGGTAAGAACAAAAATTATTAACAATATGGTTTTTTGCTTAGATGAAAATAATATAAATTTCATTTTAGAATACAGTATTTGGCGTAAACTAGGTTAGCGAATATCTTTACGAGAAGAGGTTAGGTTTATGTATAACACTTTAATGAAAATCCCATTTGAGTGCACGAGAGTGAAAACCTGTAACCAATCATAGAAATCATTAAATCTATTTCCAGGTTTCACTCTCACACACTCATTTGAATGTTACATGATTTACACAATGATTTACTGAAAAACTTGAAATTAGCAACGCAAATATCCTTTTTGCGACTAGTTCGACAAGATAAATTAATTTGAGTACGTACTAATTATAAATATTTTGCCTCGTGGTTACATAGTCGAATTTCTTATCTGGTATAATAATCTAATAAATTACTAAATAAGGAATTCATTTGTCAAACAATATTAGATTTTATATTTATATATGTATGACTAAATAGAGCTGCGCAAATATTATTATTTTATTTACTAGAATTTTTAAAAAGGATCCTCTTATTCGTAAACAGATACAAGACAATCTTTTCTCGAGAAATAGAAAGAAATCGTTTTTTAGAAAGATGATTAAAATAATTTGGACATTTCTGAAAAATGTTATCATATTTGGATGTAAATTCATTCTCCCAACATCACTTCCTTTCTTCTTTCCTTTTATATTTCTATATCCTATCATTTGTGAATTGTCATATGTGATATATCCTTTTTTCGGTTATTTTTACGTAATTGTTTTCATTCCTTATGGAAGAACAATTTGGAAATTACGAGATTTGTTCTCGTTTCAAAAACGATTGATAACGTTATATCCAATGTTTTTTGGATTTTTTATTGTATTAACCTTGGCTGCATTTGCTGGTTTATATTATGGTTTAAAGTTTTTATATTCTTACGTTTCTCCCTCAATGTATTTGTTAACAAGAAGTAATGCAATTTTTGTCACATTCTGGCTTGTAAGAATTACATGGTTACTCTTTCTTTTTAATGTTTCTAACGGAAACATTTTCCCATCCGGTTCAAATAGACTATTTTATCAAGCTATTACTCTGTTTGTTATGGTAGAATTATTTAACATTTACTTTCAAACGGCTGGTTATTTTATATATTATTATATTATGACAAAAAATATGTTTCATATAATAATAGTGGCTGTAATAACTATTTTGATATTTATATTTTACATTTTAGCCCTTATATTCAAAGATTTTAAATTTTTCAAGATGGTTTACACAGAAATTTGTTCAGATATGACATTCTTGTGCCCAAAATGTGTGAAAGAAAGGCCCTTTCCAACATGGTGTCAAGAATGTGGTGTTGAATATTTTGAGAAAAATTCTGAAAATTGGACCAGTGGAGAACCAATAATAGATAAAGTTATAAAATATACACAAGACAATTCAAAAATTCCTGTTGATTTTGTGGAGTGGATTCCATATGAACAATTTGAAAAAAGAGAAAAAATTGGTCAAGACGGTTTTGGAAGTGTTTATGGTGCCTTTTGGAAAAGCGGGCCGAGTTTGATGTATGGGAATAAGTTCAAAAGAACGAAGGGAATTCGAATTGCCCTGAGAAGACTAAAGAATAACACACTTCATGAGAGTTTGATGGGGGTAATTAATATTATTATTATTCTACTATTATTTTAGCTAAAGCATTGTTATCTATTTATTAATAATGTTTTATTTTTGTTTTGTTTATAGCTTTACAAGAGCTTAAAATGTTTTACTGCTTCAAATTTTTACACAGCCAGTACTGTATACAACCCTGAAATTTCACCGATAATTCGTTTTTATGGTCTTACCAAAGATGCCAAGGGATATTTGTTCGTAATGCAAATTGCAGAACATGGCGATTTACAAAAATATTTATTTGAAAATTTTGATAAAATGAAATGGTTCGATGATAAATTGCTTATTTTAGCTAATATTGCAAATGGTCTTAGAATTATTCATCAGAATGGTTTAACTCACCGTAATCTTCATTGTCGGAATATTTTAATTGGTGATAACGGAATGGCTTATATTACAGATTTTGGACCAATAAGTAGCAATAAGAATTCTATCACACAAAAGTTAAATTGTTCAGCACCATTTATTGCACCAGAAACCCTCAAAGAAAATACTTTTACATCTAAATCAGATGTTTATAGCTTTGGGTTTATTATGTGGATGCTTTCTGCTGGAGTTATACCCTATCATTATCGTAAATATGATGAAGATTTGAAAAATAGCATATTAATTAATGGGATGCGACCTCCAATATTAAAGAGAACACCACCTTGTTTTGCAGAATTGATGGAACGATGTTGGGATGATGACCCTGATAAAAGACCAACGTCATCAGAAATATATGATATAGTGTGTTCTTGGTATTATTTTAAAAACAAAAATGAATTTAGAGCTTCTGAAAATACCGTATTATCACAAAATATACAAGAAATTATACAAGAAATTGAACTTTATATTAAAAGAAATACTCCAAAGCCCCCTCCGCCATCAAAGAATTTTGGAAATTCAAGTGGTCAAAATGGTTCACATATTGCTATAGGACCAATTCCAAGCTAATATTTGTTAATTATTTGCCGATTTATAGGTATTAATTAATCAATGGGTGCACTATAAAATAGATGATTTATTTGACTACACCAACACTTTATTAATTTAATTTTTTTATTTTGGTTTTTAAATTATTAATAAAGTTTCAATATGTGTTTCTTTATTTATAAAAACTAGCTAAATTCGTTAAAACACCACCAGATAAACTGGTAATTTATTCATGTTAATTAGTTGGCAGTTAAACATATATATACTGTATATATGTATATATCATCATTATAAATTTGTTTACTTATTTTACATTTTAATAGTGTTAACTCACATTGTTTAGTCGCTAAGCCAGCCGACTAAAACCTCAACTAAGCGTCTGACTAACGACTTATTTTACAGAATCTGTTGGAATTTTATCAAAAATTTCTTATTCAATCTTGATCAGGTAGATTTCGACTTTTAGGATGTCAGCGATCACAAGATTGCAAAATTTTTATGCCATGACTAATATACCTATCTAGCTCGTATTTTATGTTCTTTCACTGTTTATTTCGGAATTTTATAACAATCATGTGATTCTTAGTCGCGTTAGCAAGCCGGCCACAATTATGTTTGATAGCTTGGTCGGTTTAGCTGCGGCCGCATTAGTCGGCTTAAGATAATACTTTTTATATTTATAGGTGTTACCTTGAATGATCTGAACATGTTTTACAAGGTTTAAAGAGATAAATTTCCTTTCAGCATATTAAGAAAGAAACTCGCCGATTATTTACGTACGTACGTACCGTATGGGATCCCTTCAATTCACCGACAATCATTTCACCGAACGATCATTTAGCCGACATCACATAGGGTTAGTGTTAAGCATTTCATTAGTTGCAGGTATATATTTTTACTAAATTTCACCTGGCGTGATGTCGTCTAAATGAGCTGTCGGTGAAGTGATTGCTGGTGAATACGGACCCGTACGTATGTACGTACAGTTGCCTCCGAAAGTTTGTCACGGTTACACAAAATTTATGATTAATTATTTGACAAATAATATACATATACAAAATCTCGATATAAGAAACTTTCAATATAAAAAATTCTTGATATAAGAAAGATTTTACAAATCCAAATTGAGAAATTTTATCTTTAATATAAGAAAGATTTTGGCCGGGCCCGGTTATTTTTTTTATACCAAGAGTCAGTTGTATTCATTTATATTTTATTACTTTGCGCGCAATATATTATATCGTTGATTTGGATATCGATATTTGACTATGTTTTCGTGTAACCATGACAAACATTCGGAGGCAACTGTACGTTGTAAGCGGCAAGATCGTCCTTCCCAAAACAAGTTAGTACTGCGGTAATCGGTTGTACGAATTCCTGGAATTCCTGGAATTCCTAGAATTCGGGGAATTCAAAGAAAAGCTGAATAGCGGGAAAAATCAGAATAACGAGAAAAATTAGAAAAGCTAGAAAAATCAGAATTCGCGTTATTCCTGTATATGTAAAATTTATTATATAAGTGGAGGTTCTCTCCAAAAATAAAACATAACTCGGTTGAGTTCAAAGCACTAAGTCAAAGAAATCAGAGTATTTGACTTGTGATTCACCCTAATAGTATAAAACTCCGGGGTTCGAAGTTCCAAGTTAAAGAAATCAGAGTACTTAACTTGTGGATAACTCTTAGAGTTCGAAACTTTCTAAATTCCTGAAGTAGAAGTGTTTGTTTTACTAATTCCCCCATAAGTAAATCTATAAGTTACGAAAGGAACTCGTGACCAAATCCCGTGATTCTGAATAAGAAGATTCGTGACATAATCAAGAGCTCTAATCCGACACTATCACTAAGAACCCAATTCACCCTGGTTACTCGGACCAAGTCTTTCCACGCCTCGATCGTTGCCTTACCACTACTAGGGTTTTGGTTGTATTAGTTGTGGTGTTCTGGTTAGAGTAGTTTCAGTTAGTTTTAGTTTAAGTAGTAAATAGTTGTATTATCCAGAACCGGATCTTTTTCCCTTTTACATTTGGTGGTGACTGTGAGATTGAACTTCCCTTACCCATATAAATACAAACCCACAAATACCTATTTTACAACAATGGAGAGTGGTCAATTCAGAGAAATACTGGTTTGAATGTTTAAAGATATTCTCAGAGATGTTAATGAAGAAAAGATAAAAGCCACTTACTTCTGTGACGCTGATAAAGAAGAATACCCCACCCAAATTTCAGAAGGCGAGCCCAACCAATTGCCCTGTAGACAAAATGAAAAGCTAGAGAGTATGAATTTAGAAAACAAATGTATAAAATGAACAAGAAAAGTAGACAATTCTGTAGGACAGCCAAACAAACTGTGGATCTGAGTCCAGTTGTTACCCACCCTACCATTGAAATCACATTTAGGCCATGCCAAGAACAACAAGTAAAAGTTCAGAAAGTATATGTAGCCAGCGAGATTGAAGATTCAGAAGAAAATAAGTATAATGATTCATATAGTATAAACTCTCTAAATAATAAAGAAACCCAGCCAAGTACAGAACTCATAACTGATATAAAAGGTATAGACAACACTGATGAACCTAATAGCCTTGATACTTGCGATACGAGTAGAGCTAAAATGAATAATCATGAGGAATTCAGTGGCCCAAAGAAATCTGCTGTTGTAGATTGTGTTGACGAAAGAACCGACCTAGAACCTCATTTGCAAAATAGGTTTGGAGTTGAAAAAGAGAAGCCCAAACCATTTGAATAGTACCTAAACAAAGCCAAAGATAACAAGTCAGAAGTATACGGTTTTAGATTTTATCGTCAAAATGGAAGTGGCATTAATAAGAATGAAAATAGTGATTTAAAAAAACAAACCAATCCTGAGAGTTGTTATCAATATAGCATAGATACCAATAAGGATAAAAAGACAGCATTAGAGTGGTATATAAAACCTGCAACGCACAATGACAGAATAAAGTCTTCAGAATACCAAGATGACTATAATGATAAAACAATCTAAAAAGCAACCCACCTCAACCCAAAAATAAAATCAAGAAAGTCAAATTCTGCCTATCAAAATAATTGAATACACTAAACTGAGCAAGCAATGGTGTTACAAATTAAAATACGAAGGAATGCTGTGACAATATGGTGATGTGTTTCATATCTATATGCACCTGACACTTGAAGAACACTATACCATGAAAATTCTAAATTTTTATAGAGCCATATACCTGGTCCAGTTTCATAATCTCAACTTAGTGGCAAATGTTTCTGATGACCTACATATATTGCAAAATTAGGTCATTGAAGGATCTCAGCAAGAAATCGTTAGACAAGAGTTGCTAAAAGAATTTGGAATAGGCTCTAAAACTAAAGAGAAACTCGTTAGTAATGAAAGGACCCTGAGTAATATATAGATAGGTTAGATCTAAGTTTGCTTATTTTCATGCCAAATTTGCTTCAAAAATGCTTATTTTTGACTAAAATTTGAAAAATTTGCTATATAAAAATGCAATGTTTATTGAATTTCCCTTAAAATTTTCTTTTTTAGTAACTTCTAACCTATCTATGTATTACTCAGGGTTCTGTAATGAATATGCAAGAGATTTTTTAGCCTGTAATTTCTAGAACCATAATAGTTTAAAAAATATATTAGTTAAAAAAAAATAAAAAATAAAAATAAAAAAAAATTC